GTGTGGGTGTGGGTGGGTGTGGGTGTGGGTGGGTGTGGGTGTGGGTGCGGATTAGATATTCTCAGCACCCACCCCCACCCCTACACCCAACCCCAGCCACCCAACCCACACCCACACCCACCCACACCCACACCCACACCCGCACCCTCAAGTGGTGTTAAAAGTCCATTTATAAGACCATGAACATGATGAACAGGTAAAACATGTAATTTAACTAAATATTAAAAAACAACGAAAATAAGATTATTAAAGAGAAAAATTCTTTTGACCATCAACTTTAGTCTATCCCCATGCTTTTATCATTCAATCAATATGTGCTCGAACTATATCAAATGTTAATACACATTCTTTTGGTTTACCATTTATTCCACTTGTATATATAATTAAAGCATTTGATGGTTCAGTTCAATCAATAGTTGTCGTTGATAATAAAAGATCATCATTAATATCTTCATCTGGAATTATTGTTGATAATTTTTTTTTTATTTATATTAATAATAGGAATATCAAGTTGCGGATGATTTGTTAATGTTGATTTAATAAATTCATTACTACGATCATCATCTACAAGAACTCCTCGACATTATGCATCACTAAGAAAATAAACAAGTGATGCAGGTGGATGATGTGATGATAATGGTACCGCAGTTGCATTAACCATTCATGAAGCCCACATAGCAACAATAAATGAAACGTCATTTGGACATAAAATACCAATTTGAACATGACGTTTGTTTGAAATATTGTCAGTTGATTTGTGTTGTTGGCTAAATGGAATAAGACAACAAGAAAGTTGACGTTAACGTAAATAAAGTTGACTATATGTATACGAAGATGAATGATCAATTAATGTTATATTATTTACATGTTGTGAAACGGATTCGTAATAAATAGGACATGATGTAGATGATAATTAAAAAGAAGATTTTAAATGAAAAGAGCTTTTTCGTATTGAATAAAGAGCAATACGAGAATGAATCATCTATAAAAAGAAGCTCCCAATCAAAATGATTTCATCAGATTACATCCAGTCTACCTTTTATTATTTATCCCTAGCACCGAGTATTAAAATATAACGAATTACAAAATAAAA